CAATGGATGCTTCTTGTAGAATATAGACCTCTGTAACCGGTGCGTGGAGAAGTTTCGCTTTCTTTCTAAATTATTTCCCGATTTTTTTTGAACGCATGGTGCCCACTTGAATTATACGAAGAACGCTTTTTATGAAGCGATTATGGAGTGGAGCAAAGCATCTCCTGAATGGCGGTAGTTTTGCCTACTTGGCATCTGGTGAGCCGTATCAGCCGTTTGGGGAAGATTTTGGACTGACCGTGTTTCCCGACTACATCCAAGTTACGGAGAAGATGGCACTGCGAGGGGGGTATGTGGATGTGTACACGCAGCGGTCTGCATCTATTCGACTCAGCGATGGGCGTTTTCAATTACCCCCGCTGCCACCACGTTCGTTTATGAATTTAGTGGAGCGTATAGAGCAAGATGACATTGTTCCGCGTGGATGGTTGAATAATCAAACCGCCAACCTCTACGAACCAGGAGATTTTATCCGTGCACATATTGACAATCTCTTTGTGTACGACGATATTTTTGCCATCGTTTCTCTTGGTGCAAACGCCCTGTTGCGTTTCGTACATGTGCAGAATGGGGAAGAGCTAGACGTAATCGTACCAGACGGCAGTCTCTACATCATGTCAGGACCCGCTCGGTATGTGTACTTTCACATGGTCCTCCCTGTGGAAGCGCAACGCTTCAGCATCGTCTTTCGACGCTCTATTCTGAACTCGGACGGTGGGTTTCGCCCCGTGACCACGCCACTGGGCGGTATGATGGCGTACCGTTCAACACAGGTCCTGAATACATTGTATTCAAAGCAAATTGGCGGCGTGCGTGTCACAGTAGATGACAAGTACCTCGAAAAGGAGGAGATCGGTGCCTTTGATACTGCAAAGTGGGTAAAAGGCCTACACCCGTTGCGGGACTGGTCGTTGTTGTCTCAGTTGGACGAGGATGAGGCTCGAGTGCAGGAATTGAAGAACAAACGTTACCTCGACGTGGACTTTGACTGGAGGTTTGCCGAGCTGAGGAAACGCTACAAGGAACTAGAGACGCTTTTGGGTGCCTGAGCATCGAACACTTCCGCTCAATTCACCGCGTGGCCGTTGTTGTTGCCGTTGTTGTTGTTGTTGTTGTTGCTGCTGCTGCTGTTGTTGCCACAAAATTCAACTTCCTAGCCTGAGGGAGATTTTTCCTTGCTACTCTCTTCCCTGCGCGTACACATTGTTCCTACCAGAAGGGAGGGGGAGGGAGATCGGCACCTGTGGGATAAATACAAGCAAGTAGGGAGGAAAACACAAGACAATAACAACAACAACAACAACAACAACTGCAACAACGACAAAAATAATAATGAGCAGTGCAGACAACAATCTGGGAGGTGATGAATTTGATGAACCCCCCAAGAAGGTAGCGCGTCACGAGTCTGACAGTGAAGGCCGCCAACAACGCCCCGAGAACGTGGCGGAAGTGAGTGACACCGGCAGAACCACGCTGTTTGTCCGCTCTACGCAGATCCACAGTCGTGGGGAGTTGGTAAACGGATTTTTACACGAGCACCGGAAGACGTTAGGCATCCAGTCGTGGTATGCCGCGGAGGGGGATGCTTCTTCTTCTTCAGGTGCAGATAACAATCGTGACACCACCGCCGCCTTGACCCTTCGTTCAGACGCCCCTCTAGAGTGCGTCTTTGTGAAGACATCACGGAAACCGTACTTTCTCCTCGAGGTTACGACAAGCGGTGAGGATGTGGCGACTGCGGCGGAAGTTGCGGAGAAACTAACGGCGCTTCACAACACAACGTATAAGGATCATCCTGTCCATGTGGAGGTGGCAAAGAATGGTCTCACAGTGGCTGCGGAGCGGAAGAAACTCGAAATGCGAGACGCCGTGAAACGGGCGTCTGCAGCTTCCACGTCCACATCTAAAACCAACACCACGCCGACTGGAATCGCTGCGTCGCGGCCATCCACGGCGACGACGGCCTTTGTGCCACGTGTTCTGCGGAAGAAGTGAATCCACTGAACTTGTGTGTTACAGGTGATGGATCAGATTCATGGGAGCTGCAGCGACGTATTTTTTTGCTTGGCATCTTGATGGCTCTTGAAGTTTGCAATGAATGTGCTGCGTCCACCAGTCGCGTTGCTCTTTTGTTTTTATATTTTATATTTTTTTTTTTTGTATTTCCTTCTTATTCTTCCTTCCCCCCTTTTGTGCTATAACGCCAAACGCACAACCGAACCAACAAACCCACAAGCGAGTTGAAGTTCGTTGCGCTGGCCCCTTCGAATTCCAGAACGCACGCACAATCGGGCGACGCTCCAGTGGTGTGAGCTCTCAGCGCAGCAACGGGGATGGAGGGAGAGGTGGCGTCGCTGCGCTGGAAAGAGTGGCTTTCTTCGCTTCACACGCTCGCGTTAAAGTGGCGCGAGGTCCACCTAAACTCACTCCAGGACGATGCACCGTACGATCGCACGCTTGCCAACCATGAGGGGCTAAAGGCGGGCCGCGAGAAGGTGCGCAGCATGACGAAGACATTTGCACAACTCGACAATGACAAGAAGCTTAACGAGTTTAGCACCCTCCTCAAGGAGTACCAGGGTTACATTGATCGACTGACCTTGTACTTTAAGGATGCGGAGCGCTCGTACGTGATGCTCTTTAATCAAGTGAAGGGCATGACCGACCCGTATCCACTCATGGAGAAGTTAGCTGGGGAGATGGAGAAGTTTGCGGTGATCATCAAGAGGGCCGAGATGTGCGACGCGCTGGAGGAGGAGATTCGTCTCCTGCAGGCGGAGCTGAAAGGCCTCAAGAACGAGGAAGCCACCATTGGGCGGTTGCGCCGGCAACTCGACGAGGTGGAAAAGAACGCCAAGTTGCACGCAGAGCGAAGTGTAAGGGACGCGACGGCAGAGTATCAGGCACTGCTCGCGCAGTCGCGGCAGCAAGGATACGAGGCGCAGCAGGAGATCCAGTCCCTCCGGGACGAGGTATTCAAGAAGGACTTGTCGATACAGAATCTGCGTAATCGCGTGGAGGAGTTGTGTACCTCTTTGGAGGGGGTAAAGGCACAACGTAGCCGCGATGTGGCGGATCTCGCGGTGGAGTTGGAGGCGGCGCACAACAATCTCCTCCAGCGGGAGGCGGAAGTGCAGCGGCTTCTTGCGAATGAAAGTCGTGACTGCTGGGTTCACGAGGATGACACTTCGGAGGTTGGTTCTTCAGGTGCTGCTGCTGCTGCTGCTTCTCTACCGCCAGCGCCACCTCCTGTGGCTGTGTTGGAGTCACCACAGGTGAACGGTGGATGCGTCGACCTCGCCACCAATTCTATTGAGAATCACGACGATGAGGTGCGCCACCGTCAGGCCATGGAGGAGGCGGTGGCAGCGTGGGAGGAGCAGCGGCAGCGATTTATACAACGTGAAGAGGCACTGCAGAATGAGCTGGCTGGACTGCGCAAGTCGCATGATGAGCACCTCGCATCTAGCGACGCGCGGCTGCGTCAAAAGGATGAGGAGCGACATGGGGAGTCAGCAAAAGTGCAGGAACTGCAGCACCGACTACGATCATTGAATGCCTTCGTGGACCAACTGAAGTCTGAGAAGGAGCGGCTCGCCCGAACAGTGCAAACACTTGAGGGGGAGCTGCACAGGATTAGCAAAGCCGCTCCGATTCACGAAAATGTGGCGCCACATGTGGAACGGGAGAATCCGCTGCGATGTGCAGCACAAGAGGGGGATGAATACGGCGTTGAGAAGCTGCTCTTGACTACTTCCGCATGGAAGGGTGGGGCCAAGCCACTCAGCGAAAAGGAGAAGATACCATCATTATTATTGTCACCACAACCATCTCTGAGGGCGGAGAAGGATCCTTTTCTCATTGTGGAAGATCAGCGCGAGAGGCTGCGTGAGGAAATTCTCACCTTAAACGAAGCATCATCGGCGCAGATCCAGCGCTTGAAATTGGAGGTGGCGACTCTCACAAAGGAGAACAGCACCCTTCGCCAGCGGCTGGCGAGCTGCGCGGGTCGTGACATCTGCCGTGGCGGTGGCGGTGGCGGTGGCGGTGGGTCGGTGCTTGGCATTTCCATGCTGGCAGAAGCAGCGAAGGATGACGGTCTGCAAGCGAAGACGGCACCACGGCGGTTTGTTGATACCACCGGCGGTGTGCTCTCGCGGCGCACGGCGTTGAATGTGCTGAACTATGGTGCCAGGGTCTGTTCCATGCGCGTCTTTTCCGGGGCGCTGGGGGGGCGATTGTTTGTGTTGTACATGGGTGTGTTGCACATATACTTGATTTGCTCTGTTCTTTTGTGAGATGCTGTGTGCGTGTGTGTATATGAGTGTCACTCTTGGCGTGAGAGTGTGAGTGAATTTGCAGCCGTATATATGCATTTACGTCCTTGCATGTGTCTTTCTGGGCGTTGGTATCCACCTGAGTTGTATGATCTGGCTGGGCCTTGGTTTTCTTTTTTTGTTTCAGTCGGATTCGTCCGATACCTCAAGTTGTCCCTCATGCTCCACACCTCTTCAAGTCTCTCCTCCTATCTCGCTCACTCATTTACCAAGCCACACATATATACACACCCTCGCAGGAATAAACGCCCCTTCGAAGTATTCCTCCTTGGCACATTTTGAAAGGGGCTCGCGACTGTGCAGCATAGCTGCTGGATTCGTATTCAACGTCTATATCTCAACCACTCCTTATTCATTAATACCTGACATCCTCATACCACACAATGCGACACTCAACTTATGTTGAAGTGCTCTTACAGAACATCTCCTTCAATGTAAATACCGTGCGCCGCATGGTTGGAAAGGCCGGTCTCATCACCATGGTGAAAGGAAACGCATACGGTCACGGCATTGAGAGGGTGTCTCAACACCTTCATGACATGTGTGATATTCGAAGCTTCGGTGTCGCCTCTCTCGGTGAAGCACTTACAATTCGTGGGTCTCAACCCAGCATCGCCGAGAGCGCCGACAACGAAATATTCATTTTTTCCGACACCGAAATACTAAACGAGGGCTGCCAGAGTTACTACAAGCCAAGCGGCAAATATACCGTTTGTCTGACGCCTATTATTGGGACTCCAGCTCAGCTAAAGGCTTTCTGCACCAGCACCGTATTTAACAAGACGAAGCTGTGTGTGAAGGTGAGCACTGGCATGAACCGTCTCGGGCTGCGACCCGAGGAGTTGCAGGATGCCGTGCCGCTGCTGAAGCAGCGTGGCGGAGTGGACCTCCTGCTGCAGCACTTCGCCGTGGCGGGGTCGCCGCAGTGTGTCGATGGCACCTACGCACAGTACGAGGTGTTCAAGAAGGCCAGACAGCTCCTCGTTGACAGTGGCGTCGAGGTGCGCGCGACGTCGGTGAGTAACTCCGGCGCCATTGAGCAAAATATCGGCGTGACGGAGACGTACGTGCGCCCTGGTATCATGCTATACGGCCCGCATACTAACGCGCCTCCGTCGCCGTGCGACATCCGCCCCGCCAGCCACTTCTATACCAAAGTCCTGCACCACTTTCCGGTGCGGCGCGGCGACCCCGTCGGCTACGACCTCGTCCCCGTCGAGGCCGACGGCGTCGTCGTGCTGCTGCCGATCGGCTACGCTGACGGCTTTCTGCGCGGCTACGTCGGCATGCCCATCACCGTCACACCGGTCGACGCGGTAGAGCCAATCACCGGCAGCGTCCACGGCCGCGTGAACATGGACATGACCGCTGTGGTGGTGTACCCGGAGGTGGTGGGCAAAGACATCGGCAGCATCATGGCGGAGGTGAAGGACGGGGCGCGCGTGGAGGTGTGGGGCGGCGACATTGACTGCAAGGCGGCAGCTGTTAAATCGATTCCATACGAACTCATGTGCGAGATCTCGATCCGAGTTCCACGAGTATACAAGAGTTTTTAAAGGTTTGATGTGCTTTTATTTTGCTTTAAGACGTTTGTATAGAGGTGCGCTTGACGCTGTCCTTTTTCAGTTTCTCTAGTCCTTTGCTTTTTTTTTTCTTTGTTTTTTTTTTTGCCCACTGGGGGATGTGTGCAGGTGCGATGTGTGTCATCGTATGTCCCTTGGCATTTTTTTATTCCGTTTTTTTTTTCCTTTCGTTTTTCTCTCACTCTCACTCTCACTCTCACTCTGTTTCTGTGTTTCTGTTTCTGTGTGTCTGTGTGGGATGAGGCGTGGGAGGCACACTACACACGTCTTTGCGCATTCTTTTCCCTCTGTCGTTGACGCTGCCGCACTGCACGGGTTGAATCGGCTCTTCTTGTTCCTTTGCTCTCCTTGCTTGAGAAGAGTCGAGTAAGCAAGGAGGAGCAACAGCAATAGAGGAGGAAGGCAGGAGTGACCCCTGACGAGAGAAGTAAAGAATCGGCTTCTATTTTAGCAAGCAACACAAGCGATATTCAAGTCAACCACAGTAGGAGTACACAAGAGCACCGAGAAAGAAGAATAAAGTGAAAGGCATTACACCACATTTTTCTCTATTCTTTTTTACTCACACGCCAACAAGAAAGGAACCTACACACCAGCACCAAAAAAAACTCATACAAACCGTAAGCTTATTATGGCTCTGCGTCGAATTCAGAAGGAGCTTCGGGACCTTGAGCGGGACCCGCCGGCAAACACCAGCGGTGGCCCTGTCAACGAGAACGACCTCTTCAACTGGAAGGCGACTATTATAGGCCCGGAGGACTCGCCCTACGCCGGTGGTCTCTTCTTCCTGAACATCCACTTCCCTTCCGACTATCCGTTCAAGCCGCCCAAGCTGCAGTTCACGACGAAGATATATCACCCGAACATCAACAACAACGGCGGTATCTGCCTGGACATATTGAAGGAACAGTGGTCTCCTGCCCTCACCATCTCAAAGGTGCTTCTCTCCGTCTGCTCGCTCCTGACGGACCCCAACCCAGACGACCCGCTCGTCCCGGACATCGCGCGGCAGTACAAGTCGGACCGCAATGCATTTAACAAAACGGCGATGGAGTGGACGCGGCAGTACGCCATGTGAGGGGCGGGGAGAGGGGGTGCGCAGCAGCATTCCTCTGAGACAGAAATATAGGGGAACGCCTTGAGCAGAGCACCCACAGCGAGAAGATGCATGTGCTGAGGAAGAAGGAGAACGCAGACCCACCAAAAGAAACGAACAAAGAAAAGAAGCGAGCAATCAAGCGAACAAAGGTAAAGGAAGGAAGAGGTAGGCGCTTATCTGCAAAGCGACGAAAGGATATATATATATATATATATATTATAAACAAGGTGAGATGATACATGGGAAGAATGCGCGTGCAGTGACTTTCGCTGTGCGGTTGCCTTATGCGCCCTTCCATGAAGATACTGAAATGCTGAATGAGGGATGGGGAGTTCTAAAAAAAAAAAAACAAAAACAAAAAAAGAGCCAAAAAAAAAGAGAGAGAATAATGAAGAGGAATATTTAGGTGCGTAGGTACACCACTATGTGCTTGATGTATGCACGTGAGAGTGTGAAATTGCGTGCGTGCGTCTGTGTGTGTGTGTGCTTATGTTACAAGGGACCACACCGCCTTTTAATACTTATTGCCATTTCTTTATCGTTCCGTCACTGCCGTTCCTGCTGCTGCTGCTTCATCCCATACGTTTAAGGGCACACACCACAGAGGTGCTGTGGCTATTCACATCCAGGGACAACCCAACCGAGACCAAAAACAACAACAACAACAACATCACAAAGCACCAATGGAATAGATAGACGATGCTCGTGCTTTTGATTCGTTTTATTCCTACTGTGTGCTGTTCGTTGCTCTGCGCGTGTCTCTCTCTGTGTGTGTGTGTG